GTTTGTGTCTCTGCCCCTCCTAGATAATGTTTTTTATATGATTACATTTGATCATTGTGTGTGTATCATGTTTTGTACCGTCCTCCTCCATCACAGGAAGTCTTTAAGGAGCGGATTGGTTACCCTCAGCTCTACGAGGTTCTGAAGAGTCGTAGTCAGCCGACCAAATGTCTCCTCCAGCAGCTACTGAACATGGTAATTATTCTGCATTTTAAGGACACATCCGTGTTCAGGACTTTCATGGGTAGACATTCCATCTGTGACTATGAAACGTGATCGATCGATTGATGATTGGTTTGCAAACGGATATTCAAACTTCTGGCCCCCTTATTAATGTAGAGCCCCCTGTATAGGGCAACATGCCGCCTGACCTGTCACGGCATAGAGACGTCTTCACCGAGCTGATGTGCTGGGTAGATAACAGCCGCCGCTGTACCCCCTAGAAGGGGCGGGGCTTGTGTGGGGACATTATGACATATGATTCTAGAACTGATCCCCATCGAGGTTCCCCCTTCTGTAATGTGATTTGTAGTTTCTGTTTACCCAGCAACACCCCTCCAGAGACCGACATGTGAGCTGAGACCTCATGACAGGTCAGGACTGATGGGCTTCTTATTGAGGGGGCGGGCACTATGGATATAAGGAGATCCGTCCCAAAAGTCAATCGGCCAGTGGGGAGGATCTCGGCAGTATTGTCGGGATCCACCCCGGCTGTGGCGCTCTCAGCATATAGCGGGCAATAGCCTGCTATATACTGAGTTTTGGGTCATGGGAGGATGTCGGGGTTATGGGAGGACATGTACTAAAGAGAATTATGGGGGTGGGAAGGTTACCCCATAGTTCTCTTTTAATGCCGTAGATCTCGGACAATAATTAGGAACCAATCGGTAGAGTTTCGTGATCATGTGATCACCATGGATAGCCAATGATAGTGGACACATGCAGGGTGGAGGTCTCCAGACAGCAGATGGCTTTATTGTCCCGAGAAAAAACTAAAAACCATTTATGTATCACCTTGTTCTCTTAACAGCTGAGGATTTTAAACGTAAGAGGTACATCCTAAAAAAATCTTCAAACTGTGTATTGGGAAAACCCGCAGATAGTCTACAAGTGTCATTGAGTCAATACAATGTAATACGGTAATGCTACATTGTATTTATTATTTCATTTATATGTAGATGGAGGTGTGACCTTTGACCCGTGTATGACATCACTTAAAGAAACCTTACAAGTTAAATTTTATTTAAAAAAACAAAACAAAAACCTTTATTCCAATTTAATACTTTATTAACTTTTATTCAAAGGAGATCTATGAGGTGAGTGATTTCCTCTCAGCCTCATAGTTAGAGCCGACCTGTGACAAAGAAGCGGTCACATGTCGGCTCTGTCGATCGGGAAGTGAGAAGAAACATGCAGCCGATCCGCTCACTTCCCGATCGTCTCCCTGTAGGGAGCGGTGACTGTCAGTCACCCCCCTCCCCTCTCCGATCCTCCAGCGCTGAGTGGGACTGGGGGCGGGTACAGCTGGCTCTGCCTCTAGATAGGCAGAGCCGGCTGTCACTCACGCAGCTGGGTGGATCTCAACAGTATTGTCGGGATCCTTCACGGCTGCGGCGCTCTCAGTATATTGCGGGCAATAGCTCGCTATATACTGAGCTTTGGGTGACGGGAGGAGGTTAATATACAGGTGAAACTCCGAATAATTAGAATATCATGCAAAAGTAATTGCAGTAAGTGCTGCAAAAGGGGCCCAAACCAAGTACTGAGTACATATGCATGCTTGTACTTTTCAGAGGTGCGATATTGTTCTATGTACAATCCGTGTTTTATTGATTGCATGTAATAATCTACTTTTTTGAGGTTGTGGATTTGGGGTTCTTGGGGTTTTCATGAGCTGTAAGCCATAATCATCACAATGATGACAAATCACGGCTTGAATTATCTCGCTTTGCATGTAATGAGTCTCTCTCATATATTAGTTTCACCTTTTAAGTTGCATTAGTGAAATAAATGAACTTTGACGAAAAAGGTCACCAGCACTCAAAAGGTTAAAAAAAAAAATGAATAAGTCCTTTTTATTGGACCATGGTGTCAAGACAATCGAAAGAAGCCGACGTTTCGGGGCCATGCAGGGTCCCTTTCTCAAGGCAGAAAATGTGACCTTTTTGAAAATGTGACCGTTTTGCACGGTGCCATCCGTGGAGTTACTGCAAGCACCATCCCTGTGTACTGGCCGGGATTGCTGAAAGGTGTGCGGAGAGCACCCTCACCCTACTGCATAAATTAACTTTGCACGATATTCTAATTATTCGAGTTTCACCTGTATGTCCTCCCGTGACCCTGAAGAGAACTATGGGATAAAAAGGTTACCCCATAGTTCTCTCTTAACCCTAATCAGTGTTAATTAACTCCTCCTTCTTTTTTCTCCTTTAAAAAAAATATATTTTTTACCATTTATTGTTTTGTTTCCGTTTTCATTTAATTTTGTTACTTTTTTATCATTAAGTGTCATTGAATAAATACAATGTTATCATGTATTGTTACATTGTATTTATTATTTCCTGTATATGTAGATGGAGGCGTGTCCTTTGATCTGCATATGGTATCTGTTAAAGAAGCCTTACAAGTTACATTTTATTTTAAAAAAACAAAAAAAAACAAAAAAAAAACCTTTTTCCTATTAAACACTTTATTAAAGGAGAACTATGGGGTCAGGGCTTTTCCCCATAGTTCTCCTCAGGGTCATGGGAGGACACAAACTAGCGTCCTCCCTTCACCCTAAGCTCAGTATAATGCGAGCTACAGCTTGTGGTATACTGAGACGCCAGAGCGGATCCCGACATCGATGTCGAGATCCGCCCAGCTGCGTGAGTGACAGCTGGCTCTGCCTATCTAGAGGCAGAGCCAGCTGCACCCGCCCCCTCCCCATTCCAATCCGCCAGTCAGCGCTGGAGGATTGGAGCGGGGAGGGGGGAATCCAGCCCCTCCCCTGTCACGGCAGAGAGCCGTGACAGGATTGAGAGGTGAGTGAACGCCGGTATGTGTTCGCTCACCTCCCGATCTACTGAGCCGACCTGTGACAGTCTCATTGTCATAGGTCGGCTAGAACTATGAGGTGAGTGGAAAGCCCTCCCCTCCCCCCCCTCATAGTTCTTCTTTAACCTTTCTTTAACCCCAATCAGTGCTAATGAACTCCTTCTTCCCCTTCTCCCCTTAGCTGTAATTTTTCTCCTGTTGTGTTTTTTAAAATTATTATTTCTATTCCCAGAGAGTTTTTTTTTTTTTATTTGAAGCCGCTGCGTTTGTGTTTTGTTTGGGCAGTGGGATTCATTGGGGTTTTTATTCTTCTCCCTCCTGCAGGCTCTGGAAGGTGTTTACAATCCCGATTACGTCGGCTGCATAGAAAACGAGCAGCCGCTGCTGATCCTGGTCCAGTGGATCCCAGAACTGGCTCCCAGGGACCTCCAGGTCCTGGTGTCCGAGAGGCTGAATCAGATCTGCGACTCCTCCCTGCGGAACCGCATGACGTGCGTCCAGGCCGGGATGGTCGGCCACATCCTGACGGCGCTCGGCAGCGTGAAGGCGCTAGACGCGAAATGTGCGGAGAACCTGATCCGCCTCCTGCAGGTGCTGGGCCGCCTGTCCATCAAACCCACCGAGCTGCGGGAACTCGTCAAACTGCTCCGGACCGAGGGCGGCAGCGCCCACCCTTACGCCGCGCAGGTCATCCGGGCGCTGTCCGCCATGGCGAGGAAGGACGGGCCGGAGCGGGCGCTGCAGTATTTCGATTTGACCCCCAGCATGTCCGGGATCATGGTGCCCACCATGCAGAAGTGGCCCGGCACCGGGTTTGCCTTCCACGCCTGGGTGTGTCTGAACGAAGACTCCGGGGAGGAGCTGGTGACGGGGAGGAAACGCAAACAGCTCTATAGGTAACTGACCAGCTGGAATGCGGTACTGGCCCTTTAAAGGGATTCTCTACTTCTGGAAATATAGATTTTGCTGTGTGATTCCTAAATTTTATCTACACCCCGAAAAATACTATTTCGTGTAGGATAGAGCCCGCCCCATTCCCTGGCTGGAGGATGTCCAGCATCATCTAGCTCTATCCTCCCCAGCCTGAACGTCCCTGGCCCCACCCCTTTCATTCATTGGATTTCAGGTTTTTTTTTCCAATCATGGAGGCTCAGCATCACATGTGGGTGGTCTGCATGCAAATACAGCCTGCCTAGGACCGCCCACTCTTCCAGACTGACACCCGCCCATCAAGGCATTGAGATATTTGAATAACTCCTCCCAAGAGCCCGCCCACTGCTTGCATCAGAGCTTCTGAGAGGAGTACAGAGGCAGGGGTGCTGTGATGTTTTCTGGAATACTTTGTGCCCCTCCCCCAGCCATGATCTGTCTGCATTGCGTAGAGAAGCACTGAGACGTAGGGATTTCATGTCATTAATATGTTGATTTGGGGGTTGGGGGGACACAGACCGCAATACAACCTTACGGTAGTCCCAACCTATCCCTACTGCAACTGAAACAAGAGAACTAAAATCAAACCTCCTTTTGTCTTTTCTTTTGGGTCTCAGGAAGACATTTACTATGTCCTCCTATGAACAAAACTCGACACATAAGGGGCTACTACAGCCATATGCCGACAGCGCAGAGATGTGCTGCAGCCAGGAAAGATCCTGACGGTATTGTCGGGATCCACCCCAGTGCCTGATTGACAGCTTGCTCTAGAGGCCCCGCCCCCTCCCATGACTGTTCTTCCCATGAGTACTGGAGGAATGTAGAGGGGAGGGGGGAATCCCTGACTGACAGTCGCCTCTCTCTGCAGGGAGAAGCAGTGAGCTGAGCGATCAGTAGTTTGTAATCACTCAGCTGTCGAGCTATAGAGCCGTCGTGCGACAGCTGCATTGTCCTACGCCGGCTCTAAGTATTGGGAAAAATATATTTTGTTCTCCAAATAATTCTCTCTTGTAAAGAAATACATTTCATTCCTGCTGAATTAAGGATTTCATGCGATCACCTACCTTGGTTAGTACTGCTCCGTTTGTCTCTGTCTCCCGTATCCATTGTGCTTGAGCTTGTGACCTAATGAGTCCCTCCTCATGTATCACTTCCCCCTCCATTTTAGATCGTAAGCCCTCAGGGGCAGGGCCCTCCTTACCATCTTGTCTTGAATTGTATTGTAACTGTAATGTCTGCCCTATATTGTAAAGCGCTGCGCAAACTGTTGGCGCTATATAAATCCTGTATAATAATAATAATGAGTTATAACCCTCTGGAGGCTTCCCTCTGTCTTCATAAACTGGTATAAATCTGTCTTCAAACTGAATTTCAGGAGTGGACAGATTGCCCCGAGTGGCTTTATAAAAGGTGCATAACTATCAAAATTGATATTTCCCATAAAAATACATTGGCAAATGACCCAAACGACACCGCCCCCCGATCCCCCCTCCCCGTGTAATGCTTTCCACTGATCTGCTGTGTTAGAAGGAAGATTCTGCCACCTTGTGGCTTTTCTGTGTATTGCGACTTCACTTTGCTTTTTACATTTCTTGTTTCCTCATTGCACTGAGTAACTATCTGCAGCAATGTATCTGTCATCGGTGTTACCTCTGAAGAGTCATGGATTGCATGCCGTTTGATGTGGGTGGTGGTGAGCTGTGTATGCAGTGCAGTCTATTCATTTAAACATTAATGGCACCATTGTAACACTTTACTGTTCTAACACAAGGTCTCCCTTTGCCCCTGATGCCTGCACAGGCTCTTAACCTCTTGCCGTCCGCCCGTAGTAGAAAAACGGACGGACGGCACTGCTGCATCTGCCCCCTAGCGGGCACGCACGGGCAGAAAAGACCCGACAATGCACACCCGGTACCGGGTGTCACACATATAGGCGATCAGCGGGTCCATAGCCCGCCGATCGCCTATATGTGCTCGTTCGCGGCACCCATCCCCCCCCCCCCCGCGCCCGCTCGGCGCTTCCGGTTTTTTTTTTTTTTTTTTTTTTCCCCCTGACCCCTCACCTTGATTCCCGGGATCCGCTGCCCCATCTTGGATCCCGGGACCGGCTCCGAGGGCGTCAGGAGGAGGAGGACGGGAGATCAGCTCCTTGCTGATCCCCGTCCGGGCTGTGAATGCAGAAGTGATGTGTGTTACATCACTTCCGCATTCACCTGTCAGTCATCTGGAGAGAGAAGAAGCTGATAAAGCAGATCTCTGCTTTATCAGCTTCTTTTGGGGTCCATAGGTGATATTAGGGGTCCTAGAGACCCCTAATATCTCCATAAAGAGGACCTGTCAGTGTGCCTTTGCTATTATATAGGGGGTTGTTATCCCCCTATATAATAGCAATAACAATAAGTGCAAAAAAAAAAATATAAATAAAAAAAAAGAAAAGTAACACATAAAAAAATAAAATAAAATAAAAGCCACATATAAAAAAAAGGGGAAAAAACCCCCCCAAAATGTTTAACTCCCCCACCCCCACGTTTACGCGCCTATAAACGTAAATACGCGTCCGGTGCCCCAGCGCGCAAAAATTACAATTGCGCTACACATGTTACATATCGCCGCGAACGTCGCAGTGAGAGCAATCATTTTAGGGCCATCAATCACTGATAACACTAAACTGATGAGCGGTAACAGCTTTTAAAGCGTCGCCTAGGGCCAATTTTGGGTATTATCGTTTTTTGAGGTTTCGCGCGCACACGCAATTTTAAGGCTTGACATGTTTAGTGTCTTTTTACCCGACGTGACCCCATCTTTTATATTTTACCAAAAAATTGGGTAATAATAAATGTTTTATCATTTAATATAGGGGAAACTGTTTTTTTTTTTTAAATTTCGGTAATTTTTCCTTAATATATTAAAAAAATAAAACCCCCAGTGGTGAATAAATACCACCAAAAGAAAGCTCTATCTGTCCCCAAAAAAGGGTATAAAATTCATTTCAGTACAGCGCTGCATGACGGAATAAATGTCAGTCAAAGTACCGCAGCGCTGAATACTGAAAAATGGCCTGGGTGGGAAGGGGGTTTAACACCGTGGATGTCAACTGGTTAAAGTGACATTAAACCCTCAGATTTTTTTAACATAAAACAATACTGTATTATGCGCCTTACTGTAATCCATGGTTGTTTCCATTCTCTTTGCTGCTCTTCCTTTTAAATCTGTATCTCTTCTCAGGCTGGGGGAGAACTTCTGTTTTGCAGCAGACTGCCTTGTCTCTGGAATGGATACACGGTGTCTGTGTGAAGGTTCACAACCTGAGCCAGCACTACAGGAAGAGGCCCTCAGCTGCAAAGGGAAGTTCTCCCCAAGCACGATAAGACATGAGGATTTAAAAGGAAAAGCAGCAAAGAGAAGGGAAACTACCATGGATTACAGTAAGGCGCATAATACAGTATTGGTTTATGTTTAAAAATCTGAGGCTTTAATGTCACTTTAAAGTTTCCATTGTATACAATCTGTTTCAGGGCTGGACAAATCCCCGGGGCCAGGTCTCTAATGCTCCTTAATGAAACCTGGCACCCAACTTTTGATGTTTTCCCTAGTTTCTGGCTGCTAAAAAAGCCTGCTGGCCCCTGATTTGGACAGATTGGCTCCGGGATTCCGTATTCATGTGTCCACCTCGGATATATACAGGTTCTTCTCCTCGGCTGTGAGGGTTAGATTAGTAAAATGTAACCTCCGGTGTGTTGGCACCGCTCTTGTTCACCAGTACATACATAGTTACATAGTATTTGAGGTTGAATAAAGACACAGGTCCATCAAGTTCAAGCCATTGCGTGTATGCATGTGACTCTGGATGTGTATGCGTGTGTATGAGTCCCCGCGTGTTCTTGTTCTTAAAGGAGAACTATGAGGGGGGGGGGGGGCTTTTTACTCACCTCATAGTTCTAGCCGACCTGTGACAATGAGACTGTCACAGGTCGGCTCAGTAGATCGGGAGGTGAGCGAACACATAACGGCGTTCGCTCACCTCTCGATCATGTGACAATGAGACTGTCACAGGTCGGCTCAGTAGATCGGGAGGTGAGCGAACACATAACGGCGTTCGCTCACCTTTCGATCCTGTCACCGCTCTCTGCCGTGACAGGGGAGGGGCTGGATTCCCCTCTCCGATCCGCCAGTGCTGACTAGCGGAACGGACGGGAGAGGGGGCGGGTACAGCTGGCTCTGCCTCCAGATAGGCAGAGCCAGCTGTCACTCACGCAGCTGGGCGGATCCCGACATATTTGTCGGGATCCGCTTCAGCTGCGGCGTCTCAGTATACAATGAGCTACAGCTCGCGGTATACTGAGCCTAGGGTGACGGGAGGACGCTAGTTTGTGTCCTCCCGTTACCCTAAGGAGAACTATGGGGAAAAGCCCTAACCCCATAGTTCTCCTTTAACAGAACCTGTACCCCTGAATGTTACGGTCTCTGAGGAAATCGTCCAAGTGTTTTTTGAAAGATTCAACACTCTCAGATTAAATCACCTTCTGCAGCAGCGAGTTCCAGACCCTGACCGCTCTTACTGTGAAGAACCCCCTACGCCCCTTGTGCTGAAATCTTTTCTCCACCAGTTTCAGGTGGTGGCCTCTAGTTCTTGTTATGGAGTTTACCGTAAAAAGTTTATTGCTGATGTTGCCGTCACCATTGAACATCTTGTACATCAGAATCATATCCCCTCCCCCTCTTAATCTCCTTCCAGCTAGAAAATGTTTACATTTAGTAACCTTGTCTCATAGCTTTGGTCCTCCATCCCTTTCATTAGTTTGGTTGCCCTCCTCTGGACTCTTTCCAGCTCAAGGACGTCCTTCCTGTGTATTGGTGACCAAAACAAACATCACCAGCATTCCAATGTGAAGATTCCCGTTGGTGCAAATCCATTTTATTGATGTCAAAAGATTATTTTCTACTTTTTATTGACATCTATCAATAAACTGGATTTGCAGTGACGTGAATCTTCACATTGGAATTCTGGTGACGTTTGCATTTGTTACTGGATTTTGAGCGGCACCATCCGCAGTCATTACAAGCACCCATTTTCTCTGAAATATCCGGCAAGGAGTGCGGCGCGGTACATGGATTGCTCCTGTTCACCAGACACGTGCAGCACCAGGTGAGCTTCATGCTGACTGGTACTGTGCAGAGTTCTGACATAGACCGTGGCGCCTTTATCAGGAACGGAGGAATGAGTCGCATTGATGTCACGGCGTCTCTGTCTTTCCCGTCGCCTATGGACGCAGATCTGTCATAATATTCTTCCGGATGACGTGTCCGTAGCGGGATCTCTCATGACATGTCTCTGCTTTTAGTTTCTTTGCAGCCAGCGGTACCGGCTTTGAGGCGTTCTTCACCGCGGACGGGATGCTGGTGGTGGCGGTTTGTACCAAGAAGGAGTACATGACGGTGGCAGTCCCCGAATTACACTTCAATGACTCGGTGTGGGTAAGTGTCT